ACAAAAAAAAAGAAAAAACTTCTAAACAGATTGAGTTGCCATAATTCATTAAGAAAAGAAAAGAAAAGAAAAGAAAAAAAAAGAAAAGAAAAATGCAAATAACAAGTTTATAAACCTGGGGTAGACAGCCCTTTGAGTTCTTTCTCTTTAAAAAAAAGGTTATGGTTTAGAATTTAGTTGGATAATTTGGGCTGGCCAGTTAGCTCAGTTGGTTAGAGCATGGTGTTATAACACCAAAGTCAAGGTTTCAGATCCCACAGCTTCCAAAAGAATAAAATAATTAATTGGGTAGTATGTATTAGAATTATGTGGTGCAGTGTTACTAAATATGCATTTAAAAAAATTATTAAGGGGCCAGCCCGGTGGCGCACTGGATAGTGCGCCGCTTGGGAAGCGCGGCGGCGCTCCCGCCCGAGGGTTCGGATCCCACATACAGACCGGTTCCCACTCACTGGCTGAGTGAGGCGCGGGAGCAACGCCGAGGGTTGCAATCCCGTTGCCGGTCCCCGGTCCGGTACGGGGGCAACACTGAGGGTTGCGATCCGTTGCTGGACACGGAAAAAAGACAAAAAGACAAAAAAAATAAAATAAAATAAAATAAAAAATAAATAAATAAATAAATAAATTATTAAGCATACAAGAATGTTGAGCTTATAGTTCCTTGCTTCGAAACCTCTGATATTAAAAACAACCCTTCTTGGACCTAGTGACATGACTAAAAGATGCATTGTATGCCCTCATTGCCCAAAGACTTGAGTGTATTTACTGCATTTCATCAGGGAAATTTGAAACCAGAATGAGTTAAGCTGTTATTAATATTTAGACTTTCTAACTGCAGCCAGCTATAAATTATAAGGAAATTGAGGCTCAGATAGATCAAATACTTTGTTTAGGATTCCTAGCTGAACCTGAAGTTTTCAAAATCAGATCTACTTTATTCCGCAGCTTCTACTTTTAGGCTAGATTGCTTACCTTTTTGTTAATTTTAAACTCCTTTTAAAAAATCATCTTGGTTAGCCTCTGCACTGTGGAGAGGAGTTGCTGTATAAATTGTGCTCCTTATTGGTTATGCTCTTTATTTTTTATTAATTGAAATCTTTATGAGAGATGCTTATAAGTAGCAAAACTGATTGAATTTTCCTTTTTCATAACTTTTTCATCCAGAAGTAGTAACAAAAACAAGATTGTAAAAAACGAAAAAAAGCTCCAAATAATTATAAACACAATTACTAATAAATATGGGGTCTCTGAAGTGTTTGACCTCTATAAACATTTTTAATAAGTTGATATGCCCTTATCTTTGCAGAATCAACTGTACCTATTATTTTGTAGTCTCAATGCAGTTTATCTGGTTGCCTCTCAAAAGACCTGACAAACTAAATTTCTTATCGTTGGTGTGTTCAAGATACTTTGTGCTTAACATTCAACAAAAATTATATGTGTTACAAGATTTAACCCCATCATTACTTTACCATATAAAAACATCACAGGCAGATATGAAGTTGGAAATTATATCCAAATTTTCAGAAAACTGTAAACGATTTGGACTTATTTAACTGTGAATGAACTAAGTGTGTCTCAGGTATGGTGAAAAGCTTTAGAGCAAGGAAGAAAGCAAAGAGAAGGGAAAATCCATAGTGTAGCATGTAGGTTTGAGAATTTCAGGAATGAGAATGGCGATTAATCGAGATCTGACAGTTCTGATAGAACATAACAACATCCTGGCTGTGCTACTGACTTAACCTCTCTGAGTCTTAGTTTTTTAATTTGTATAATAAGAGTATAAATATGTCCATATAGGGTTGGTGTGAGTATGAAATTGAGACAAAATATATAATGTACTTTAGAGTGCCTGGTACATGATAATGGTTCATTAAGTGATAATTGCTATTATATTATGATGGACCTCTGTGAAGTTTTTTCCAGATTTATTTGAACCCCTTTTGTATGCTTCTTTGTTGGCACTTCACCTTGGCACAGAATACTTGTTTGGTAATTATTATTTGTTAACTTTGGTAAAGTCTTTAAGGAGAGCAATTCTGTCATCTCTTGGTATATTACTTATACTTAACATATTGCCAAGTGAGAGAAAAAAGTAGTTGGTATACATGTGACTGAAATCTATAAATAATACATCATATTCAGTCTGAGTACTTCTGTTCTATTGGCAAAAAGCTGATAAACAAATTTCCACTGCAGGTTTTGTGAGCTTCAGCCTCTCCTACAGTATCACCTTTACTTACTTATTTTTCAGTTGAGATACAGATGCATCTATATTAAATATTTGGTTTTTGTGATGCTCAAACACAGTCCCAATTGCAAGGCAACTTGGAAGTTAAAATTGAAATATAAGCAGCTTAACACCAGAATGAAACAAAATTGTATATGTCTTTTTGCAATAGCAGTTCTGAAAATGTTTTTATATAGTGTAACGACAAAGGCATCAACTTCGTTATTTTACAAATTTAAGTTTGGCTTATATATTTTATTGAAATGGTTACTTTCTAAACATCCATATCATTTCATCTGCATCTTCTTCCTACAAACATTTTCTCTTCTACCATTTAGTTATTTTATCCTTTTGTTTGTTTCATATTAAAAATCAAATTTATTTGACTTGCAAAGTCAAGGGAATATGGTTTGGAATGAGTAGTGCCTTTAACTTTATCTTAAGCCCAGAACCTGTCATATCTGGACCCAAATGTCTGACTCAAAGAGAATTGGCACTATCATTACCAAGACTTCAGCACCTTATCTCTCAGAATCTTCAATTACTTCTTAGCTCTTAGCATAATCTGTTTTGTGCATTTTTGTAGATTTCTTTTGTAAATAGGTTTCCAGAATAATTTAGATATTTAACTGGTATTTTAGTCTTCTGATAACTAATGTTTAAATAATCTAACCCTTCTTTTCATGCAAAGGAAACTGATTCCTGCTTTCAAAGGCATAGGCAGGCAACCTTAGGTTCAAAGGTAATAAATAATGATAAGAGCAAATTGCTAGTGATATATGGCTGCAGCCCCCATAATGTACTTGTTGGGCTCAGGTATTCTAGGAATGAGAATTCTCAGAATTACATAGCAGAAGTGATAACGTTGCCTGGATACACACTGTCTGAAGAATAAAAATGTAGTCAGAGGAAGGGGTTTTATATCTTACAGTGAGACAGTATTGGTATAAGAAGCATTCCAAATATGTCATTCTTCTTAAATTAATTGCAGACACGCTTTATGTTACTTCCTCAATGTCTCTCATTTTTCACCTTTTTTAGAGGAAGACATAGCTCAGTTTAAAGCTTTTACCCAAGGATAAACTCCAAGGGACTTTAAAAAGAAATGTGTTTGCACTATATGAGAACACTATTTTGAGAATTAAATGTAGGATTGAAAAACCAGAGACATGGGGCAGAATCCCTGGTCAGCCTTTTCCCTTTAAGCATCTGATTCCCATTTTAGAAACAATGCTTTCATCACTATATTCAGCATTACTTTTTCTTTCCTCTAGCCTGCTTTCCTTTTCATAATAAATATTCTGCTCTTCCAATAGTGATCAGTTGACATTTGTGCTAGGATACTTGAAGGGCTATGTCAGGTTTAGCATTCATGCCATAATAATCATAGTAGTCAAAACTATTAAAAAGGCAAGTTATTGGAGCCTGCTGCTTTCTTTTTATTTCTCAGACATCCCTCTTCTCCCATGTATCAGTTCTTCCAGTAGTTATCCTGGTGAATCCTTTCTGCTAATTCTTTCCAAGATGCTGACAACTAAAATGTTACAGGCTCTAGCCCAGCCCTCTCTGCCACCCAGTAATTATTCTCACCATCTCTTCCCGAATGCTAGTTCCTTTTCCTTCCAGCCCAGACCTAGACTTCCTTGGAGGCTGAGGCTGGGAAAATACTGAATTTCTTTCTGTTTCACCCTTTTGGGAGGGAATAATTATGGCACATACTTGTAATACCTCTAGGAAATATTGGTATCCCCTGATCTTTTCAATAACATAAAGCCTAGAATCATCAAAAGTCCCAGATTTACATCCTTCTAAAATGAAAGCAATGAAAGAAGCTCCAAGTTTGGTCCAATACTAAACTTCCTTATATGGCCCCCTTACATATGAAGAGAAAACTGATCTAATCTTCCTTTCTAATCTAGTAAATCTTGAAATTCTGGTTTCACATATTCTCAGAAAGAAGAGACTATAATAGTATGACAGGTGATCTTTTAGTGTCTTTGGAAGATCTCTTTCTCTAAGACATATTTGCAAGGACATTGTTAAATGGACATGTAGTGAGTGTTTTCTTCCTTCACAGATATCCAGCAGGGAAGTCCTTAGAGGCATCTGATTTGAGGGAAAATCCACAATTGCTGCAGTATATACGGTTTTTTTTGGTGGCCGGCCAGTACTCCAGTATATATTTCTGTTTGTAAGCAATCCTCTGAATATCATTAAGATGGAAAGCTTTTCACAGCCTGCTTGTCACACATTTTGGACTCCTTTTTTTAGTTCTTATTTTAGGGTTTAATATAAGTAGGAAGATTAGTAGTAGACAGAGTGGTAGAAACGCAGTCATTCTTCTCCATCTCCCACTATTTGAAATCCCCTTGAAATTATTATCCAAACCTTATGACAAATGAAGTCAAATCACAATAGAAGAGACATGTTTCCTTTCTAGGAGTTTCTTAGAAGCAATTAGCCCAGTACTTGGTGCATATAGGTGTTAATATAAGGCTGTGGGTTCTGCTTGACTATATGAATAATCACAATAATCCAGTAGGTTTGCAGAAATGCATAGAAAATTTACAAACAACATCCCATTTCTTCCTGACAACGGTGAATCCAAAGCATTGATACAAAACATCCCTGCTTTCCCCACTCTGGTCTAAAGGTACTGCGAGATGCCTTTTTGGAGATGATCAGTGTACATCCTTTTGCTTGTTTGGTGTCATATAAGGAAAGTGCTCATCTGTATCTGTTCCATGCAATGCTGACTGCTACTTAAATCTGGTTGGAGGGGGTTGTGTGGCTGGTGTCTGAGCTCCAGTGACTAGAAGAGTCCTAAGACCCCAACTCCTGGGAAAGCATTGGAGTCAAGTCCATTCTAGTTCAGAAAGCTTGGAAGGCTCTGCTGTGGCTGGGGATCATGCTGGGTGTTGTTTCTGCTTTGGTCAGAGTGGCATGGTGGACTTTCTTTGGCTCAGAACTTCTCACCTCTGCCCCCACTAGGCTGTATGCCTGGGTGGACAGTCCTGGCTGGGGTGCTGCTTCGGTTGACAGTGTCCGCTGGCTGCGGGAGGCACTATTTGCCGTGGAGCGAGTAGAGGCAGAACCAGAGTGTGAGCTCCGAGAGCCTGAGGAAGAGGAGCTAGGTTTCACAAGGCGGGCTTTTGGTGCTTCAGCATCTTCTCTGAAGAGAAAAAAAACAGCAAAGAAAACTTTAATACTGGTAGGACTATGATAGTTTCCACTATGGTTGCCTCTTTCTGAGGTTTCCCAATGAATTCATCAAGCCATATACGTCAAATAGTACCATTGGAAAGCAGCCATTTAGGGAAATGGGCACTTCTCATTTCTTAAGACTCAATGCTTGGCTTAGGCAAATATTTTGTTAGCCCAGAGGTCAACCCTATTACACTGGGGAGAGTATGATCTCACCACTGAAATGGTCTAAACAGCACTCCAGTTTAGGGTTTGTTTACATAAGCCCTTTCATGGCTCATTGGCTATACCTGTTCTTTGTTGTATGCACTTTATAAATGGAAGTTAATCAGAAGTAATGTAAAGTTGAACTTCTAAGTCTCTGAGGAGAGTTACTTTCATAATAAAGTCAAGATAAACCAGACCTTCTGTCTTTAGGCTGGAACTTCCTACCTACCAGAATAATCCTTTTAATAGATTCATGATTAGAGGAAACTGGGGATATTTACACTGACTGAGCATTATGGAGCTGGCCCTAGAAGAAGCCCAATAGAAGTGGAGATCTGAGGAGGTTTACCGAATTTCATTAGGTCTCTCTTCTTCCTCATATCTTTCTTTGTCTTTCCTTCGGATTAGCAGCCACACCAAGAGGAAAATCAGCAGGGCTCCAGCCACTACGCCTGTTACTGCTCCTGCAACCATGCCGATGCTTTGTACATCTATTTTCTCAGAAGCAAAAGCACAAATAAAACCAAACATAAGCTAGGAAATACATGAACTCAACATGAGCCATGGACAGAATGAATATTTTTAGGTCTTTATATCTGTCTTCCTCAGTAGTACCCCATTACCTTTTCTTGTTGCATGACTATCTCTCTTGATAGTTTTGTAATTGTAGTTAGTGAATCACAGACCACCAGCAGTTGGCCCAGATTTTAGTAAATGTCTTGATTGGTTTAGATGCTAAAAATGGAGCTGGGAGAGTTACTGTATCATGTTCAAAGATTTGATAGGACCCTAATAGGATGACGTTTGGATGGTCCTCTGGCTCTGCCAACTTCCTTGCTAACTTCTCTCTTCTCCCACAAGTAAAATAAAAAGCAATATAACCTACAATGTTAGTAGACTCTGTGTTGTATTAGCCAATGGATCCTAGAAATTCAGAAGTCAAGGTAAATGTGATTTACACATTAGTAACACACACTTTTTCATTCATACACCAAATATTTATTAAGTGCCTACCCTGAGCCAGGCACAGATCTAGGCACTGGTGAAGACAGGCAAGGTTTCTGCTTTTGTTGAGTTTACGTTCCATAAGGAAGAAAGCACATGGTAAACAACTAAAGATAGTTTCAGGTAATGGATAAATTCTGTGAAGGCAAAAGTGTTTGAGTGATATTTTAGGTGGGGAATGGGTACCCACTTAAGTTTGGATAGTCAGGACTCTGAGGAGGTGATGTTTGAGTTGAGATATAAAAGACTATCTTGTGGGGCCGGCCCGGTGGCGCACTGGATAGTGCGCCACTTGGTAAGCGCGGCGGCGCTCCCACCCGAGGGTTCGGATCCCACATACAGACCGGTTCCCGCTCACTGGCTGAGCGAGGCGCGGGAGCAACACCGAGGGTTGCGATCCCGTTTCCGGTCCCGGTCCGGTACGGGGGTGACACTGAGGGTTGCGATCCGTTGCCGGACACGGAAAAAAGACAAAAAAAAAATTAAAAAAAATAAAAGACTATCTTGTGATGTCTAGGAATAGAGAATTCCAAGCAGAAGAAGTAGCAAGTGTGATGAATGTGAGTGAATCTGGAGCATACTGAGCAAGGGACAGTGTGGGGAGATGAAGTCATAGAGGCAGGAAGGGACCAGCTAACACAGGGCCCTATAAGCTGGGCAAGGATTTTATTGTAAGAGCAATGTAAAACTAACATGACCCAAATTACATTTGAGAATGGCTGCTCTTGGGAAAATGGATTGTGGAGAGGTAGGAAAGGAAGCAGGAATACCAGTCAGGAGGCTTACAATAGTGCAAACTAGAGATGATGGTGAATTAGACTAGGGTAGAAGTAATGTACATAGAAACAGGTAGATAGATATTGCTTGTATTTTGGAGTTACAGTCAACAGAATTTGCTGTTTATTCTTGTTCTACTATCTTTATAAAAACTAAATGACCTTGTAATATAAAAATTCATTTTTTAAAGAAATTGGGCTTTGAATATCTTTAAGGTCTCAAAGGACTGGAGTTTATTTTACCTGAGCAATTTCAATTAGGGAATGCTGTTTCCCCAGTGTTCCACCCCCAAGATCACCTAATCTAGATGGACTGTCTATTAATAGAAATTTAGGTTGCTTTCAGTTCACAACTGAAAATAATTTATTATTTTCCATATATATTTGCACACTTTTGGAATGTCTCTAAAGGATAAATTCACAGAAATATTGCTGGATAAAATGGAATGCACTTTTCCGTCTAAAGCAAAATGGATCACTAATTGTGGTATGCTCATACAATGAAATACTGTAAAACAGTGAGAATGAACATATTATAGCTACAGGCAACAACAGTGATGAATCTCAAAGACATAGTGTGGAGTGAAAGAAGCCAAACACAAATGGAGTGATTCCAGGGAAAAGTAATCCGTAAAGTTAGGGATCGATCTGGATATGGAGGAGTGGTGAGAAGTAGTGGCAGCTTCTTAATCATGATGCTAGTTACACAGGTATATTCACTTTGAAAATCTATTGAGTTGTACACTTAAGATTTATGCACTCTTCTCTGTGTGTTTTACTTCAATAAATCTACCCCCCAAAATCTATAGATGAAGCTAAATTGTGCCACCAATTTATACTCTAGTCAAAAATATAAAAGCGCCTGTTTCTTCAAAACCTTTCCAATAATTGGTACTACATTTTTGATCTGTACTAATCTGACAGCTTAAAATAAAAGGTTGGGCCTTTTTGTTCCTCTTATTTATGTTTATTGACCATTTGTATTTCTTCTATCAACTGTCAAAGTCATTAGAAAAATCTGAAACTTGAAAACAGTCCAAAAAAAAGTACAGTGCTTGGCAATTTACAATTCTGTAGGGGCAACTTCTAAACCTCTGTCCAGTAGAGATGGAAATAATTGCTGTTCCAGTTAAACAGATGACCCAGAAATTACAGTCTGTGATTCTATAGGACATTAACCAGTTTAATGTCTAACCCAGCAATCTTAACATCTTTATGTTAAATTGTCTCTGGATACCTAACTTCTTAAATGCTCTTAGGACCAGTTTTAACTAGCTCCCTTATTAAGTAATGAGTTAAATAAAATATTTATTTGTCAGAGTCAAGATTTTACCTTTTTAAAATTATACTTCAATAACATTCTGTGCCCACTTTGGTTTAGTTATTTTCTCACTGATTTGAAAGAATTCTTTATTATAAGGGCCAGCCCACGGCTCACTTGGGAGAGTGTGGTGCTGATAACACCAAGGCCACGGGTTCGGATTCCTATATAGGGATGGCCAGTTGGCTCACTTGGGAGAGCGTGGTGCTGACAACACCAAGTCAAGGGTTAGGATCCCCTTACCAGTCATCTTTAAAAAAAAAGAATTCTTTATTATATATTTATAAACCTTAGTTATTAGACTTCGCACTCTTGATGGTTTTAAAAATAAATCCACAAATTATTTGCTGCTTCTCCCTTGAAGAGGTAGAGCTTCATTCTACTCCCTTTGAGTGTGGTCTGGATTTAATGAGTCACTTCTAATGAATAGAATACAGCAGATGTGATGGTATGTCACATCTGAGGCTTCATCATAAAAAAGCATCGCAGCTCCCTCCCTTAGATCTTAGATCTCTTAGATCTCAGATCACTTACTTTGTGGGAAGCCAGCTGCTAAGAGCACTTATATTATATAGAGGACCATATGGTGAGGAACTGAGGCCTCCAGCCAACAGCCATGTGAATGAGCCATCTTAGAGAGGCAGATCCTCCAGCACCAGTCAAGCCTTGTAATGACTGCAGCACTAGTTGACATCTTGCTTACCACCTGTCCTGAGGAGATGCACTGAGCCAGATCTCCCAGCTAAGCCACTCCTGAATTTCTGACTTGAAGAAACTAACAGATAATAAAGGCCATCTTAAGCCACTAAGTTTTGGAGTAATTGGTTACACAGAAATAGATAATAGATACACACTTAGTTTTTGTCTTTTAGTTTGGTTTATCCTATCTTTTTTTCAAGACTCAATCTCTACATTATAAGCCTGGCATACTATTTATTGCACTAAATCAATTTGAACACTGCTGTCATGGCTTGAGGACATGGGCTTCGGTTCAAAAGTCTAAAGTTTACCAAACTGATTAAGGGAAAATAATGATAATAATAGCCGATGTTATTTTATTTATTTATTTATTTATTTTGCGGCTGGCCACTATGGGGATCTGAACCTTTGACCTTGGTGTTGTAATACCACGCTCTCACCATCTGAGCTAATACTGAGCACCCTCTATGTCAGGCACTCTTCCTAAGCAGTGGTAAGTAAATGTGTTAATTTACGTTTCACGACAACTCTGTGAGGTAGTTTCTATTATTCTGTATTCTTTTTTTTTTTCTATGTTATAGATTGGAAAATATGGAAAGGGAAGTAAAGTGCCCACAGTACTATATAGTTAGTGGTAGAGCTGAGATTGAAATCCAGGCAGTTATCTGGCTCCAAGGCTGATGCTCTTAGTGTCCTTGGTGCTCTCTCTCATCTGGAACTTAAATCTAATTCTTGATTATAACACACACACACATACATGCATTCATACGTATGTGTGTGTATGAGGACACTCACAAACATTCTGGGGCAAGGAGAAATCTCATCTACTTTCCTAGAATGGTACATGGTATATAACTAGCTGGGTGGTTTTGTTTGTTTTTTTACAAGTTTTTCTTTGACCCATGAATTTAGAAGTATGTTTTGAAATTACCAAACATTTTTATTTTATTTATTTTTATTTTTTAGTGGCCTGCTGGTATGGGGATCTGAACCCTTGACCTTGGTGTTATGACACTGCACTCTAACCAACTGAGCTAACCAGCCAGCCCCCAGTTTTGTTTATTTTTTTTTAAGACTGGTGCTTATTTGATCCCCTCTTGGACATAGTAAATTGCTTTAGGAGGCTTGTTAATTCACACATTTGTAAATATAGAGTCAAATAAAATTGTTGAATGGTCCTTGAAACCACTGAGTTTATTTTGTTGATAGCCATATCCTTCTGGAAATAAAGGCTTTGACCTTACCTCATGATTAAAATATATTCCACTGAACCACAATGCAAAAAACAAAAATAAAAAATTCCTTTGGATACTTACACTGTACAGTCACTCGCACCACACAGCTTTCCTTCCCAGCCTCATTGCCTGCTGTGCACTGATAGAGTCCAGAGGAAGACATGGTAAGATTCTGCAGCAGAACTCGTCCAGGGTTGTTGTAGTCTGCACAAGAAGGAAGAATGACTGTAACAATCTTAGTGATAGCATCTATATTTATTGTTTACTTTATTGTGCCACTGACCTAAGTTTTCTAGATACAGTTTGACATGAATGAAATTATAGGAATAGTCCCTTTTTGAAACGTGGAAAGAAAGGTGAACATCCTTTTAAGTTGAAGTGCATTCTCAAAAAATACACAAGATTGTGAAGATTTAAGGTATACTAAGCAAGATAATTAGGCATAGAGGATTCATATAGTACATTTCTTCCTAATCTCTCTTACCAGTTTTACATGCCATTTGAGGAAAGAAAAGACAAGATTTCTGTCCTAGTCTATGGATGAAAAAATGGCTATTCGAGAAGTTCAGCTGTATATTCAAGGTCATGTAGTGAGTTGCTGACAAACCAGATTTAGAATTCATGGATAGAGTACTATCTTGTTGGCTCAACAGACTGGTAGGAAAATGACTTACCAATCCTAGATTTGGGAGGCAGATGTTCATCCTCCCCTTCTTTCTCCCGGATTCGCTGCCAGTAATACACAATGGGCTTTGTGCCAGAGGATGACTCACACTGCAAAGTCAGGTCACTTCCTTCCGTCAGCTCTCCTTCCAACTCACACTTGGGCTTGGATGGTCTCACTGGCCAAAACAAACAAACAAAAAAATGATTCAAAGACCTTCAAACACTAGATTTAATAGAAAAACTATGTCCTATTGAGTTATTTCTGCAGCTATCCCTTATGGTCAATTTTTTTTTTTTTTTTTTTTTTTGGTGGCTGGCCAGTATAGGGGTCCAAATCCTTGACCTTGGTATTATCAGCACCATGCTCTACCAACTGAGCTAAACAGCCTTATCATCAACTTTGTTTTTTTTTTTTTTTTTTTTTTTTAAAAGATGACCGGTAAGGGGATCTTAACCCTTGACTTGGTGTTGTCAGCACCATGCCCAGCCAGTCAGCGAACCGGCCATCCCTATATGGGATCCGAACCCGGGGCCTTGGTGTTATCAGCACCGCACTCTCCCGAGTGAGCCACCGGGCCGGCCCCTTATCATCAACTTTGGAATGGGAATTCAACTAGCCATGCTTTACATTAACCTCAGAAGTGCACCCACCTCCATTCTGTACACACACACACCCCACCCCGATTCTAGCTGCTACCAGTGGTGCTACTGTAATTTTCAGGGGCTGCCTCAGAGGCTTGCTCATCACTGCTCAGAGAAGAGACACTGTTATTTACTACAATTTTTAGGAAAGTTGGTTATAATTTTACTGATACTGAAATAGGGATAAAAATTTATTAATTTGGAAATAATTAGATAGAAATTTGTAGCTCTCGCTGTCAAAAAACAGAAATGAATTTGATGCATATCTGAGAAATTTAAGTTAAATATGAGGAAACCACTCTAATATCAGAGAATATTTAATTAAATTTTGTAATGGGCTACAATGAAGAATTGTGATTATATTTTCTCTTTTATTATGGCTAAGATACAGAACGTGACACATTTCTTCCCAGGGAACTGAACTAGGTGACCTCTGAATGTATAACACGAAGTACTGAACACAAAGTTTTGTACTACCATGATGTATCTGGCTCTCCTTCCCAGAGATGTTATTAATAAGATGTAGGCAATTACCTTGGCACCCTATCTTACCTAAGACTTTTAAGATGACATGGCTCCACACATAACGCCCTGAATTCTTCACCTTGCAGGTGTACCGGCCCTCATCACTGGGCTTCAGAGGCTCAATCTGCAGGGAAGCATCTCCTGCCAGGAAATTGGAAGCAAAGGCCACTCGGCCTTTCTGTTCCTCAGTCAAGTTATTGTAGACATGACGACTGGAGTACGTGATCACCTGTGGGGCAGACCAAGGCAGGGTGGGGCAGACCAAGGCAGGGTCAAGCAGTGTGGCTCTCAGCCTTCCTCCCTGCCGATGTGAAGATGAGGAAAGGGAATTCTTCCCCGTGGCACAAAGTAGTCAAGCCTGGGGCTGATTCTAAGCGTCCAAGAGACATCTGTTTTAAGTAAAAGTTAAAAATACGATACATTTGCCTAGGCCTTGCTTCTCCTTCCAAGAATGATAACACTTATATTTGGGTAACATTTAACTACAAGATGCTAATTATTTCATTAAATGCTCAGAACTACTCCATTTTATGGATAAGGAATTTTAATTTTGAGTTATATACTGAAGGTCATACAGCTAAGGCAAGGAAAGGATACCTTTAAAAAAATTTACAGCACGGGCTGGCCCGTGGCTCACTTGGGAGAGTGTGGTGCTGATAACACCAAGTCAAGGGTTAAGATCCTCTTACCGGTCGTCTTTAAAAAAAAAAAAAAAAAAAAAAACTTACAGCTCTACATACGTTAAGCATAGAACATCTGGAAGAGTACACAATAAATGGTATCAGTAGTTGACTGAGGTGAATTGAGAGAACAGAGGGTGAGAATGGGGAGGGAGACTTAATCTTTTCCCTGTATACCCTTTTCTATCTTTTGCATTTTCTATCTCTTGCATGCAATCTATTCAAAGTACACTACACTCCTTGTGCTAGGTGCTTTCACGTGCCGTCTAATTTATTTCTCACCACAAATTTTTCAGGTAGTTATTATCCCCATTTCTCAGACAGGTGGCAGAACCAGGATTTGAAAACAGGTCTTTAAACACCATCTAGTTAATTGTTCTCGCATACCACAGTTAACCTCTCTCCCTGTTCCTTTTCTCACCTGTATTCATTTAACTGCTCATTAACTGTTTTTTTTCAGAAAGTTTGGAAATGAAAGAGAAAAAGTGAAACTGAAAAAGTCAGTGTTTTGTTCTTATGAAAACTGAGAATCCAGAGGACGGGATTAGAGAAGTTAAGAAAGAGTAGAAGTCAATGGGTAAAATTCAAGTCTGATTCTGAGGGCTTCATTGTTTCGTTTTCTTTCTCTTGTGGCTTTACTACAGATTAGCAAGAGTAAATTAGGTGGAAAAAAATTATGTCCCTTCCTTCCATAAAATACACATGGGCTTGATGTCTTTGTTTTCCCAGTTAGGGAAGCCAAAGTTTAGATTTCCTCAACAGAAAATAATCTCCCTGGTTTTTACTAAAATTTCATGTGCCTACATTATAACCTCTAGTTCTTTAACCTTTCCCTGGGTTCTCTTAGTCTATCACCTCACTCCTGCTAGCCACAAAATCCATGCTGTAGTAGTCCACCAGGACTTCAAGCCATTTAACTTCAGCTTTTTCACCCTGCCACTCAGTAGTCATATTCTTAAACTCATTTCATTTAAACATCAGCAAACAATAAATGGGAATGACTACTTCCCATCAGGTCTGGAGGAAGCTATTCGGAATAGTAAAAGCCTCTTCATGTCTTCAAGTGACTTATAATCCAGTGGGACTAACAATGAGAGAAGTATAGACGTAGAAAAAGGAATGATTTACTTGAAATAGTATCAGGGAAAGTGTCCCAGAAAAGTTGGTGGCATTTGAGTTAGGCTTTGAAAGATGAGTAAACTAAAGAGACAAGAGGCAAGGAGAAGAGGGCTGGAGGGAGCATTTCAGATACACAGGACAGCACTAAAGAAGGCATGAAAGCATATGGGTGTCTCCCGAACACATTTCTAGCTGCAGCTGTTCAAAATTGTTTTACGCAAACCCTAACTGCATTCTCAATCATGTGATGCTCTGTAGGCTCATCAGATGCTTTCCTGAAAAGATTCTAAGCCACCCAATAAAATGTCCATCAGTTCTTTCCATTATATCAAAACTCTTCAGTGTCATCATCCCTCTTGCCCTTACCACCTCTCTCAGAAAAATGTTTTCTCCTTTCTCTGCAAATTCTTCTTCTTCAGCAAATATTTATTGAGTTTGTGTGTCAGGTACTATACGCAGCACTGAGAAAACAAACAGGAGTAAGACAGTTCCTATACTGAAGAGCTCACAGTCTGGGGTGGGTGGAGGGAAGAAATGGGAGAGAACCGAGTAAGAATATTAAATACTGTAACTGATAATACACTTAAAATATCTTCATTCAACATTGCTCTCTCATTTCAAACACCACCATTATTGTGACAATTCTTATATCCTTTTCTCTATTCCCAGCATATTTTTGAGCTCCATTTTTGTATTTCCAGCTGCCTGGTTGCTATATCCTTCTGTTCTCTCTAATCTACCTTACATACTGCTGACAAGTTAGTCTTATTAATGGAAAACTCACATTAGCTCTTTTTCAGCTCAAAAACATTTAATGGCTCCCTGCCACCTCTGAATGATGACCAGGCTCAGCCTAGGTTCCTCAAAGTAAACTCTAAACCTTCCCAGTGTCATTCTGTTTAGTCCACTTCACATACCCGGCTGCAGTCAAATTACATTGCTTCCCTTTCTTTAATATGTCATGCTTTCTTTGTGCTCCTGTGCCTTTGCTCACTGCATTTTCCCACTTAGAAACTCCCTTTTCTCCATCTCTCCATATAAAGAAACCCAGTCCATTCTTTTAAGTCCAAAATCAATGTTACCTCTCACAAAACCTTTCCTGATAGATACTTAGACTGAGAATAGTCTCTTTTTATTGTTCCAATCCATAGCATTTCTTTGCACCATTTTTATTTGAAGAGAAATTGTGAGAGACTTTGAAATGAGCAAATAGGTTGCTGTGTGCCCTTTCTATAATGCTGGGCATTGTCCAGGGGACCCTTTGAGTTTATCTGATGTTATACACATCTGTTGTCTTATCTTTGGCCAGGCTATTTTGCAACTCCACAGTTCTTCATTCAATAAGCATTTACTGAAAAAACAAAAGTCAATAAGCATTTATTGAAAACATATTGTGTACTTGGTGCTATGTTAGAGATGATAGTAATACAAAGAATTGAGTATTATAAGTGTTAAAAGAACTTTTTTTAAAAAGGTAATGACTCTCATATACAGGAAAATAAACATGTTTCGAAGATTTTACTTCACTCAGTAATCAGTGATAGAACCAGTGAGATGTTTCAACCAGTTCAGATGAGAATTGGAACTAAAAGAGATTTATATTCTCCTTTCGACAAATTCATTTGCATCTCTATGAGCAAGAATAATTTGTATTGCTATAGATAAGAAACATAAGCATCATTATCAGCTATCCACAAGTTAATTTCTATTTCTGCAGAAACTCATACATGAGAAAAATTAGGACCTAATTAGGTTAATTAGGGTCTACTTTTTCTCCAGAAAACTTGGATTCTAGACCTTTTAGACTCTAAAAGGTGAAGGCCCTTGCTCTAGATGGATTTCAGAGCTGAGACTGGAACCCAAGATTTCTGGTGATAAATCACTTTTCCTTCCCTTGTCCCCCTGGCCCCCAACATGTAGCCTTCCCTCCTCCCCATAACTTGCAGCTTCCATTGAAAAGAATACTGAAACCCAAGACAAAATGTCTGTCTAGAAATAAAGAGTGAACTTTTGACTGAAATAACGCATTTACTGTACTTATTTTTTTTTTTTAAGATGACCGGTAAGGGGATCTTAACCCTTGACCTGGTGTTGTCAGCACCACGCTCACCCAGTGAGCTTACCGGCCATCCCTATATAGGATCCGAACCCGCGGCCTTGGTGTTATCAGCACCACACTCTCCCGAGTGAGCCACGGGCCGGCCCCATTTACTGTACTTTTCAGAATGTTCCTTAGCATGAAGATGATGATCAGGAGGTACCTACCAATTGTGTATGTAGTGGTAAGCTGCATGTTTTTTGGGTTTTTTTTATAAAAACGACTGGTAAGGGGATCTTAACCCTTGGCGTGGTGTTGTCAGCACCACGCTCAGCCAGTAAGCTAATCAGCCATCCCTATATAGGACCCAAACCCATGGCCTTGTTATCAGCACTGCACTCTCCTGAGTGAGCCACAGGCCGGCCCTAAGCTGCATGTTATGAAGGGAGGGAGTGGGGGGGAGGGCTTATAATAAGAATTTTAAAAGAGACAATGTAGGGCCGGCCCGGTGGCGCACTGCTATAGTGCGCCGCTTGGGAAGCGCGGTGGCGCTCCCGCCGAGGGTTCGGATCCCACATACAGACCGGCCGCTCACTGGCTGAGCAAGGGGCGAGAGCAACACCGAGGGTTGCGATCCCGTGGCCGGTCCCGGTCCAGTACGGGCACGACACTGAGGGTTGCGATCCGTTGCCGGTCACGAAAAAAGACAAAAAAAAAGGAAAAAATAAAAAATAAAAAAAATAAAAGAGACAATGTATGTAAAAGGACATTGTTCCTTCACCCAATGACCACTTAGTGACTACTGTGGCTTTATGAATGTAAATTAGACATAGAAATGAAAATCCACCAACATGATGCAGTGCATTCAGTCAGGATTTTTGTCTTTATTTAGCAACACATGTGTGGCATTATTTTGTGCTAGGCACTGTTCTGAGCACTTTACAAATATTAACTACTTGCATTAAAAAAAAAAGCATGAGACAGTGAAAAATTTAAGATAAGAGTAAGAAGATTAAGATGGTGAGTCTCTAATACACCACTTAGATTTAAGACCATTCTTTAGTACATATTTGTTAAGTGTCTTCTATCTTAATCTAAAACTGCGGCAGCTGCAGTTTAATCCTGCTAGAATGGAGTAGTTCTTCTGGCCCCTCCTGTATTCATGGTAGGCATCACTAATCAATAACTGCACTTTCCCACAGAGGCTGGACCTCCCAGGGAGGAGTTCTTAGGGGCCAGGGAGAAGTTTCTATCCTATTCTTACCCCCTTAAAATGCAACCAGCCTCTGATATGCCAGGCTGTAACCAGCACCATTTCTGAGTAATTGCATAGTCCCACCTCACTGCTTTTTGTTTTCCTTCCAATCAGGTAAAAGCTATGCACTCTAACCC